ATGAATAGATGGGAGAATACAAAGATGATCTGAAACATGAATAGATGATGAATAAATTAAATATAGGAAGGCTGGATGAATAGATGAAAAAATGAATGAATAAAAAGATGGACAAATGAATGGGAGGATGGAGGGATAAACGAGCAAATGAACAGGAATATCATTGTAGGATGAATGAATAAAYAAATAGAATGAAAGCATGAATGACTAAGCAAATGAATGAACTAGTACTACTGATGCCAAGCAGTTGTCCAGTACATGTGAAACATGATATTATTCAAGATAATCAACATCACTTGACTTTAACGAGAGGGGGTGAAGTTAATAAAATATGAGTCACACTACCTCTTCCTGTTATCAAGTTTTTATCAATATCACTACCAAACACTCTTGAACCAAAATGTCCACATGATAATAAAGTACTGCCCGTCCCAACAAAAGGATCAAACACCAGTGTTCCTGGTCGTGCCTGGAAATAGAACCATGACTAACAAAAACAAAATTCTGTTTTTGAAATTTATCTRCACCCTTGAATAATATACAATTTTTGAAAGTTATTTTAGGTTGTTTAAATACAATGTTTTTTTCAAAAAATTACTGATGGCTGGAATATGCAACACCTGAGAAAACGAGTCGGGGACCGTCAAAAAAAAGGACATTGCAATATTAGACATCAGAAAATAACTTTCAGTAATCAAATATAATCATCAAAGTGTATCATTGTACAGGTCAAACAATGAACAATTTGGTCATTGCTTAAGATTCAATAATAGASTCTAATATTATCAGCATTGGTTTAAGTGTTCACAGGCTACTCCAATGGAAATGGACATTGATTTGTGACATTGTGTATCTCTATATCACATGAACCTTATAATTTTACTAATGATTATAGTATTRTAGTCATGTTGTTGTTGTACATACCTGTCCTTGATTAGCCATAAAGAATGATAGCAATGGATCCATTGATGTATTACCAATAAAGTACCTATCCTTCAAAGAGTATTTCTGACATAAGTGACGTT